CGGGAGAGCCCTGCAGGCGAGTGGCCTCGAGCAACGTGTTTGCCTAACCCCTGACCCCTCCTTTGGGGCCTTAATTGAAATCCCAGCTCGGTGACAAATTGGCAACACCAGTGGGGTCGGGGGGCGAGCGTGGAAGTGGTTTTGGGGAGGCCTCTCCCTGCTCCGGACCTGCTGCCCCTTCCCGTCCTGGCATCAGCTGGAAAATGACTCCTTCTCCACCCAGTCTGAGGAGTTTCATTGCAGCGTGCTCCAATTTGAGTGGGGTTTTTCGCTCCTTCGATGTCCAAAGGCTGCTGTGATGGGCTTGGACAGGCAATGGCCTGGATCTGCAAGCAGCTCTGGGTCAATGCAGGTGGGAGCAGGCAGATGCTGCTTGTGGATGTGCAAAAAGCCTTCCAAACAGCCCATTTTGGGCTAAAATCTCCTTGGACTGGGATGCTCTGATGCTCCCTTACCCACAGTCCCTGGGCAGGGGCATTTGCAGCCCTGGAAGGGAAAGGCCAGGGCCCTTCACCAACCTTTTGGAATGAAGCAAAAGCTGCTTTTTAGAGCCGATACTAGAAATTACCTTTGGAATAACAAACAGAATCAGAGCCCCAAAGCTCTTCCCACAGACTGAGGATCCCAAAAACCTACACTGAGCTGAACAAAACTGAAGCCATCCCATTTCAGAGGTTTCTGGGTGAGAAACGCACCCTTGTGACTGCAGAAAGCTCATTTTTCTGCAGAAACCAACCTAAAAACAGACAAAAAAGCCCCAAATCTTGAACCCCCCATCCCTTTTGCAGAGCCTTAGCAGCAGCGATGCCACACGAAGGGAACACAGCACCCAAGGTGGGCGCCAAGGTGGGCGCCAAGGTGAGCATTACCATGGCTACAGGGGCTCTGCGGAGCCACAGCATCGCCCTCCATAGCACCAATATTTTCCCATCACCAAATACTGATGTTACACTGCAGAGTTTTCCTGCCCATAGGTAGATATTGAATATTTGCCATTAAATAGATGATCCAAGACGAATCCTGGCTAAAACGCCCGGTCCCGCGCGCAACCGGAGCCCTAAAATGCCAATGGTACAAGCGAGGCTTGAACCAGTCCCAGTCTAAACCAGTGCAATTCCCACCAAGGTCCTGGGTCACAGCCCACGCTTCGGAGCATCCGTGGCATTTTTACAGCACCAACAGGGGACTTGCACCCGGCAGCTGCCACCTACACACCCAATTTGCACTAAAATCGCCTTAAAAATGGAGTGCCCCCGCTGCACCGCAAGCCCCCAAAATATCCCCATTGGCTTTGGCACCTGCACCTCATTTGCAAAC